TTTTTCCCTCTCTGCCAATTCTATAAGTTTCTATACTTCATTTAGACTCTGTTATCTCTATACCCTTCTTATAAATATAATATTCCTCCTCTAGAATAATTTCTACAGGCAAGGTTTATTCTGTGTTCTTGTATGAAATAAAGTTATTCTATATACTGTTACTATTTCAAACCATTTGCCTTCTGCTGTGTAGTTAAGTGAACAATTACACATTTATTCTGTATATATTTGCAAAAGTCAATCACTACACTGGGTGATCTTGTTACTTAGTTGTATTTTACTAAGAAGACTACAACCCTGTAACATTATTATGCTATATCCCATTCTAATTATCCTACTACATTCTGTACTCTAACTCATGCTATACCTTTTTTATATAACCTGTAAATAAGATCTCAATAGGTTCTATAAACTATATATTACCTCAAAACTAGCTAATAAAAAGTTCAACATAATTTTGTATATTTATTTGTCTTAACATAATAGCTTTTTTTTAGAATTTTGCACTAAATTAAGATAGCTACAAAGCTTTATATTTCATATTATATAGAAAAAAACTAGTTTTTGGCACTTCATTTACTTTAAGCAAAACAGATTAGTGTAAGAAATTAAATGGGATTAACAAAACTAGATATTCTATACTGCTTATTTGAAAACTTGCAGTATCTAATAATTATTAAAATAATTTTTTTATAAAATGCCAAAGTGTAGAATTAAAAGCCAGTACGATGTACGTAATAGCTAATCAGATATGAGGATCGATGTATAAATTATTTTAGAGCTTGATTTTCTAATTTGGTAAATCGTCAGACTGTAGTATTAAACTCTAAGAGTTTCAAAACTTTGAAATAAAAGTAGAAGTATTTGTTTTTAACCTGTTGTATCTTTTTATTAAAAATTGTTTGTTATTATCATACAGTATTTTTAAATCAAATATAGTATAGGTTACTCTTTTAAAAAACTATTTAATTTACTAATTTTATATAATTATTTTATTGTATTTATATTATAATTAATATTTTTTTATTTTTATTTTTTTTTAATCTTCAAAGGTAAGGCTATACCTCTATCTTTATTAAAATCTAATTAATTTTTTTTACAAATAATTAAATAAAAAAATTATATTATTTGAACTTTATATCTATAAGATACTAAGACTAGAGACTCAGACAGAGCCCTTGATAATTCAAAAATTATAGAAGTTATTTGTGACCTAAAACTATTATAATTAATATTTTAATCAATATTAAAAAGCTAATTTAAAAGATTATATTAAATTAATTTAAAGATTTTTAAAGATTATTTTAAGAAGTAAGCTATACTATATTTGATCTATATTTTTTTATTTCTGTAACTATTGTATATTATATTGTCATATTTAATAAAAGAGAGAGATTGTATTAGTATAAATCCTTATATATTAAAATCAATTCTGATTAAATTTATAATTAATGTCATTATATCTGATTCGTAATCCTGTAATATCATGTCCAAATTTAATCATAATACCTAGTCATAATATCTATGAAAAGAATAAGTTATAGTATTAATGAAGGTATTAAAGAAAGAAATACTTATTAAAGAAATAAAAGAATATTTATTTAAGTTTAATACTATCTCTATCTATTTAATTAAATCTAGTTACTTAAACCAAGTCTTTCCATATTTCAATCAAAGCCTTACTACTATTAAGGTAGTGTTCGAAAAAGTTAGTACAGATCAGATTCAGATTTGTGCGGATCTGAACCATCGGCCCCTGAAATATTGAATTGGGCCTGGATTGAGCGAGATTGGGCCTAATTTTAGGTTATGTCTTTATATAATCACTCTATATGATAAATTTGAATTTGTTATGTGATAAATTCTAATATATCACACCTTATACCATAATATAAGTAATAAATTTGCATTTGTCATATGATAAATTTGAATTTATCACTTATATTGTGACAAATATATATGACAAACCATCAGATTGACACGGATCACTCCTGGATTTAATCTGAATTACGAATTTGGATTGGATTCAGATCAATCCCGGATTAACTGAGATTTTTAATCTGTTTTCGAACATTATATTAAAGTTTGGTTAAAGTAGGTTTAAAGTTCTAAATAGAGTAGTTTAGTTAGTATTAGAGTATATATTGACTTAGCAACTTTTCTGATGCAGCTTATACTTTTTTAACATACATAATAATAGTAAATATCAAATATAATATGAATGCAGGTTTTAAAAACAAGTTCAAAATAAAAAAATTTTAAGAAATATTAAGCAAAAGACATATCTAAATCATAAATTTTAATTTATATTGATAATGTTTAACACTTAATTATTGTTAAATGCATATTTAATTAAACTTAATAAAAATAATAATGCCTTTAAGCTTAACAATTTAATAGATATATACATAGATAATTTTAATAAATAAAATTATTTGCTAACTAGTACAAGGCAAATAATAATTGTCACAGATTAAAATGAAATCTGATCAAAACGAAATTTTTCTGTTTTTTAAAGAAAATTTAAAATTTTTTGGGAGACATTTTTTGGGGTTCTTTTTAGTATTAGGGGTAGGATTTAAGGTTAGGTTTATTAATAAGTGAATATATGTAGGTTTTATAGGCTCTAAGAGTGGACATGAAAGGTTCCCAGTTTCATTTTGATCAGATTTCATTTTAATCTGTGACAATAATTAATATAAATAAATTAAAAAGAACTTCCAACTAACGATAAGTGTAATACACACTCATGAAGACTACAGACATAATAAAAAACCAAACCTTAACTACAAGATAGAGCGTGTAATCATATATATCCTACGTACATTCTATATTTAATATATTGTAGCTTTTAAAAAACAGTCAAATAATCTATATTCAGAAAAAAATACTGTAGTACAAAAAACTAACTGTAAGCATTATTGTTTGAACGCTATTTTTAGATTAACAATACAAGAACATTTATTAACAAAGATATAATTTATCCGACTTCTTACTAACCTATAAGACAGAAAGTGTACCCTCATGCTAACTTCTGGATTAATTGCCTGTTCTCCGAATTAAGTTTTACTGTATATAAAGTAAAAGGTATAGTTCAGAATATATGGATCGTGTCCTTTAACAATTTGTTTTCGTGACAAACAATTTATTCGAAGTCAGACGTTGCTTTACATTTGTCACGTGACTCGAATAAACGATTATTATTGGTCGGTATATTAAAAAAATTAAAATTGACGATCACGGCCGGGATATGAGAACCGATTATATAACTTTGTATGGCCTAATTACAGAATTATTAAATTTAAGTATGTTAATATATAAAAAGCTTTATTAAATGAGTGCTGGAATGTTGCAAAGCAAAAACCTGTAACTAACCGTAGTAAATCATTATGATCAAGTTACAGGTTTTTACTTTGCAGCACTCAAATACAATTTTTATACAGTAAATACATCCTTTTATATAATTTTTTTTTTTTAAATACTGTATATACAATACGGTATAGTTTGCTTTTAAATTTATACTGTAATAACGCTATATATTTTATTTTGTATAAATGCACATCATCTTTAAGTACATATTTTTGAAATTTTGACGACGCATTTAGAAAACTTTCTTTGTATATAGTTGCTAAAAATAATCTGTTACTTTCTTGTAATATTCTTAGTATTCTTCACTATCGCTACGTATACTTCAGATAATAATACGTACGTACGTATCTGGTATATAATCATAATACGTAATAATACGTACGTATCTGGTATAGAATCATAATAATACGTAATAATAATAAATAATATGTACGTACAGTACGTACATATAATAATAATAAATAATTCGTAATGTATACGGTATATACCGTATAATACGCATAATAATCATATATATATGTTGAGTATGTTATTCCCTTCGGACTTAGCTAGTTTTAATTATCCAAGTAAATACACCATTATATTTATAGACATATATACACAAGTTTATTTTTATACGTAATAGATTTTTGTAAGCAGTAATACTTTTTTATAATCTACATTTCTATAATTAGATTAGGTTGATGATCAGGTTACTTAAACATCCATGCATGTTGGAGTACACATTTAACATCTAATGTGATACGACAGATCAAAGAAAAAAAAGTTTTTGGAATTCGTTGTATGCAACGTCATTTTCTTTGATGGGATTAAGGATTTTTTTTCATGGCTACGTCGTTGAACGAAATAGATCGCCAATGCACTTTCTACAGCTTATTTTAAATTTTCATTTACGGTTATACAAAATTACCAATAAACCATTTCATTACAATCACATTTTTCGCGAACTTAATTATATTGATATGTCACACAACTATTCCATGGCAGAAAAAAAAAAAAAATCGAAGGATTTTGTAAATAAGGATGATTGTACTCATCTTTTCGGCGAATAAGATTCATTATCACAAGTGACAATTACTATTTTTCATCTTGTCACATAGATTTCAACTGAAAAAATTAAAGTTATAAAAAAACCAAATTTCTGGGTCAATTGATCACAGATAGGCGATATGGTCTTCTATAAATTAAGACAGTAAATTTTTTAAAGACAAATTGTTTTGGGAAGGAGAGCTTTGGGCAACAAACATTCTAAAGTTCTTTCAGACACGTTTTACAGAACTCTATAATCTATTTATTAAAAATGGAGAAGATGCAACGACGCAATGACTTTTTCATTTGTGGAGAATGTTTGTTGACTGGTTTTGGTAATCTCTTTAAACAAAGTAATTTTTTCGAGGACAAAAAAATTACAAAACCATGTTAAATAGAAAAAAAAATTCACAAATGAGATGATTGGCCTAATCTGATCACAAGGTCAAGTGAGAGTTGTGATCCAATTTATTATGGCACTAGCGGGCATAAATGTGACATCATAAAACTTCCACAATTTGCTCCATACTGGGACTTTTTAAAAAAAATTTTGTTTGTTTTCAAGGTGACGTTTGCGAACAAGCCTCACCACTTTTTCACCGATGCCCCAAGAGCAGAAGCAAAAGAAGAAACGGGTTCCAATCACTGCCCTTACAAAACAAGAGATATGCATTAAAAAAAGAGAAAATATGAAGCTCAGAGACGAGGACCTCGCCAAAGAATATGGTCTTGACCGGAGTACGATCACTAAAATCTTGAAACAAAGGGATAAATGGTTAGCAATCGACCCCAACTCTAACTATGCAAAGCAAAAGACGCAGAAATCCCCAAAGTTTCCACAGATTGAAGAAGCTTTGGCTTCATGGTTGGCGATTACAAGTTCTCAAGGAAATGCCGTCAGCGATGGACAACTCCAAGAAAAAGCCCTTGAATTTGCTCAAATGTATGGGCTTCGGAACGAGTTTCAGGCCTCAAATGGGTGGATATCAAAATTCAAAAATCGTCATCAAGTTCGTAGTGGCGATAGCTCGGGTGCTCCGGATGTTTCTTTACAGATAACACCTCAATCAGCGCCTATCACTGGAACAGTTTTGTCTCCACCAGAACATTCAAATTTTAGTAGCACAGTTAGTTTGGTAAGTGCTTCAAAAAGTTGAGATTTGTGAAAAATATAAATTACTGACGTCATTCTGTGACTTGCATTCTATTGTCACATATTTTCGAATTTTCAAAAAAAAATTTTTTTTTTTGCTTTGCTCTGAACAAAACATTCTGTCTTAAATATCATCTGTTTTTCCGTTTTATGTGATCATCAGCCACCCAGTTCCAACTATACAACTCCTCAGTCTATAGCTTCGACGTCAAATAGAACGAACGGGACAAATGCGCTGATTGGATCCGCTTCTAGCTCACCTTATATTACGTTTGGGGCTTCAACGTCAAACTCAATGGGACCTCCTTACACTCCTTCCAGGATATATCCTGTATTAACCATAGCGCCTCATATCCCATTAGAGAATGCGGCGTATGTGACAAGTGATTTATAAATAAATTTATAAATCAATATTAAAAATTTATCAAGTTTTTCTTGATGTGTTTTTGATCTTTATTAATTTTTATTTAAAATATAAAATTCATAGATTCATATTTTGTGATTATCAGAATGACGTTATCGGGATGTATGTATAAATTTGAAAATAATTGCTATAAATGTTTAAATTTGAAAAACATTGTTATAAAATGTATAAAATGAAAAATACATGAGAATCTATGATTTTCATAAATCTAATAATGAAATATTTTTCATAAAATTCAGGTTCCAAACCAGCAATACTTTAAACCAATTTCTGTCACGCTCAAAACAACTATTTACAGCCGTTCATCAAGCACAACAAAAGAAGAATATTAGTTGCTTCTCTGTTGGTCTTTATGTGAGTTTTATAATAAAATTTATAAATAATTTTCAAGAAATGAAATTTTCATTTTATAGGCCAAAAAATTTTAAACTTGTTTTTATCTATATTTTTAAATAGTTCCGTCCTGGTTATCCTGAAGTTTCTCCAAATAACCGCCATTTTGAAAACTTGAAAAGTTTGGGAAGACTCGTTGATGGCACTAAAGGAGCCGAGTTTATTGACGGGATGGTACCAAGAGATGTGAGTCAAGATTAGTTATATTATTTATATCTGTGTCAAACAAGTAAATTTGTGATTTTAATCTAATTACAATTTTAATTTAAATTTAGAATGATATTGTTATTCAAGTATGTATTTAAGAAAAAAAAAATTTTTTTTTTCCTACATTTATGTCATTTATGTCATTTATGTCAATAACTGAGCCATGATAAATTTTATTTTTCAAGAAACGCCGAACAGATGCATTTTATAATACTGACCTTCAAATGATTCTCGAATCCCGAAACATCCATCACATAATTTTATCTGGTATCGCAACAGGTGATGTAATTCTGTCGACAACTCGTTCTGCTGCTGACAGAGATATGAGTATCACTGTCGTCCGCGATTGTTGCTTTGATGGAAGTGATCTGGTTCAAAACGTGTTAATGGACGAAATCTTTCCCAAGCAAGGCGTTATGGTTGTTTCTTTTGAAGAAATTGTAAATGGTTTAAGATCAATTTAAATGGAGAGTAAAAAGTAAAATACTTAAACGTTTTCGGTTTTCTTTTTTCGTGTCCGAGATTTGGTCGCTCGTTTTTTCAATTCGTTTTTTTTATCATTTCCGAAATTAGCAATGAGGGTTATGAAATCGATGTTCATTTACCTTACAAAAGAGGATTATTATTCTCATTTATGATTTTTCACATTTTACCGTTTTTCTTTTTTTTATTTTGGGTTTTTTCGTTTCTTCATATTTAACTTGGGTATGTATAGGGGTCTGAAGTCACATAGGAGGCTCCGAATAGGCATCTTTCTTAAAAAAAAAAACAAATTCACCCCTTTGCTACGGATGTGATATTTAATATGTTTAACTTTTTACCTCCATTTCTATTCTTTTGTCGTTTTTTTTTTTTTCTTCTTTTTTCATCCTTTTCGATTTCGATTCGTATATATATTTAATACTATTTTCTCCCCAAACAAATATTTCGTAAATTCGTGTATATAACCTTTATGATCAAAAACCAACACTTTACTCCTTATTTTTCTTTTTTTAAGTGACAACCAACTATAAGGCAAAAAAAAATTTTTTTAAAATTTAAAAAAAAAAATAAATAAATAAATTCGAAAAGAGCTTTTGGCACGGTTTTATTTCAGGAGGACAAAGTTTTATACACCAAATTTTTATGGTGTACTATTTTTATAATGTTTTGGTTAATGATGTAAATATCGATAATGATCAAATTATATCTTGAACCATTTTCAATTTTAATAATTTTTAATAACTCAGACAAATAGCTCATAGTCATAGAAGAAGAGCTCATAGATGAATAACAGACAAATAGTTCATAGTCATAGAAGAGCTCATAGACGAATAACTCAGACAAATAGCTCATAGTCATAGAAGAGCTCATAGATGAATAACTCAGACAAATAGCTCATAGTCATAGAAGAGCTCTTAGATGAATAACTCAGACAAATAACTCATAGACGAAATAGTTTTTAAAAAAAAGAAACAATATCTTTTTATTTAGTCTTTTTATTTTAATAATTTTGTCTGAAAGATACTTTTGGATCGATTATAGTCCACTATAAATATTATATTATGTACCACATACTGTATAACTACATTTTATAGTACATGAAGTTGTAGAAGTTAAACCATGAAACATGAAACATGTGTTATAGTATTTCAAATCGATATTGCATTAATCAACTTAGTCAACCTAGCCGGTCTAGATTAAAAAATTTTTGAGAACATGATCGATTAACGATTGAAATAAGATGAAAGGTTAGAATAACTTTGCGGGGAATTTTGGTTTTGTTAGAGCGCGTATATTTTCGAAATAACCGTTATTTCGAAAATTGTGCCCCATAAAAATAATATAATTGGTTTTGAAATGTATCCAGAAATAACGCGCAATTTTTTCCGAGAAGAGTTTTTTACGATCATCACGTGCAGATAATCTTAATTATGTCGGTCAGTTACCATTCATTGTCGCGGATCATAATGAAATGAGAGGTTTCTATTTGTCCCTAAAACCCACTTATACTTGTTTATTATAAAACCTACCCTAAACCCTAATCCTAACTAAAAAAATGCACTCCAAAAATTTGTATTTTTCGGTGGCTTATCTATCTCTCATTTTGATTTCATTTAATCTGTCACATTCATTATGTCGGTCAGTCAACATTCATTCATTATGTCGGTCAGTCAACATTCATTCATTCATTATGCCGGTCGGTCAATCGCAAAGATTGACTAACACAACAAAAAAAAAAGGTTGCATTTATCACAATAGAACTTTTGATTATTTATTATACAGTATTAATTAGAAAAATCGATCTATTACCCCCATGGGCGTACTCGAAATTTTTTTAGGAATGTTACGCATCAAATGTTTATACATTTTTGTTTCTTTGGAAACATTGTTACTACTTCTCTTTTTATTTTATGTACAAACAAAAAATTGTTACACGAATGTGCAATAGCATAGCAATAATAATAAACAAAATTTACATGCATGTAACCAGTGAGATATAAGGTTACGAGATCTAGATTTACTACAAAACAAAAAAAAAATAATAATTGAGAATTTTCTGGTATTTTGATTTTGAGATAATAACCAATCAAGTCTGCATATTCGTATCAATGAATCGACCAAAGTTATCGATTACAATCATCTGAGACTCTAGTAACCAATTCTATATCAAGACCTTCTAGAATTACAACATTTCAAAACGTCGGCAATGATTTTATCTTCCCAGTGAGTATTAAATAAGAAACTTCCATGATCCAATTTGCGCATCATGTGAGCTTTCACATTATGCTTAGAAAGGTACTTGTAAACCTCTTTCGAAGGGACGAGATTATCATTTTCTGCTATATAAACGTACGTGTTGTGCGGAAGGACATTACGCGGTGTAATAAAGAGAACGCATTGAAACCAATGGAAGTGGCGAGAGAAATAATAGGAAGTGTATAGTTCGCGTGACCCGAAAAATGAGATAAGGTGCTAAATTTTAGGAAATAAATATATAAAAGGGCGCGCCAATTATAAAATATTTGAATAAAAAAATTTTAGGAACAAAAAAAAATAGAAAAGATGAATAGGTAAGAAGTAGATATAATACCTCATTGGCAGCTCTTGGAATCCGATATTTAAAATTATAAGCAACATTTGGGTGATGTAATAAGAAAATGATAGGATCTATTAAGACTAAACCACCAATACGTTTTCTGGCTTCCTTAAACATCCAAGTACATACAGCTGTGCCCAATGAATGACCAACGAATATAGCTTTTGAATAATTTCTAGAGGTAAGCATTTCTTCAATTTCACGAACAGTTTCCTCCATTGTTGGGACATCTTCAATCATTTGCAATGAGACATAAGGTAATTCGACCAAAAATAAAGGACGATTCAATTTCCATAATTTTCTGATGAAATTAAAATAACAAAATAAACCACCACCAACACCATGAATAAAAACGATCGGTTTCTGACGACTTTTTTTCGGAGAGAAGGAATCGTGGTGAGAATGAGGGTCATAATACCAATAACTAATTCTTGATGGAGGAGAACCTTCTTGAATATCAAACTCCAGGGTACTTGACCAGTAACCATTTAAGATACTTTCATTTGAACCAAAATGCTCGAAACCATAAAATTTTAGGATAATATTGAATGCGGAAGTCACTAAGAAGACAATCTAATAACGATATTATAAAATAATAAATTTATATTATAATTAATATTATAATTTATATATATTATAATATATATTATAATTTATATTATAATTTATATTATAATTTATATTATAATTTTAGGGTATATAAAAAATTAATCTACACCCTGAAACTAATAAAACACCTACAGCATAAAAAACAAAAGGCCTAGGAATAGCTTCAACGGGATCTAGGGTGAGCTTAATACATTTACAATTTGGATTGTATCCTTCACGAAACTTAATCTTTTGACTTTTTTCTACTGAATCAATTATTTCATTTATTTCCTTTAAATATTCAGGATTGTTACGAGCCATTTCAAGGGTAATAGCAAAAAATCCCCAAGATAGCCTAGAAAAATATGGAATTAAAGAATATATTAATAAGGCACGGGTACAGTATTGGTTGAATCTTAATTGATGAAAAAGGTTATTCACGTAAAATAATCCACATTATAAATCAGGTGAAAGGTTGCATCATGATTGGTAACTTAAAAATCACATGATTGCGCCTTAAAATCCATATGAATTAAACCAATTTAATTGTTCCTGTACAGTAGTTCTTTTTCGCAAGGATTAATTTTTGGTGGTTTATGCAACTTTTTCTAATCTTAAAATGTAAAAAAAGCATGGAAACAATTTGGAAAATGTAGAAAACATGTAGAAAATATGTAGGAAATATGTAGGAAAAGTTGCATAAAGTACCAAAGGTTTTTTTAAAAAGATTATTCGTAGGAAAGATTCATTGTTCTATCTTTTTATACATACCATTCAGCAAAGTTATCCCTGTAAATTTGATTAACGGTAGATTTTTTGTGACCAATATTAAACCAACCTTCGATCCAGTCATCGAATTTATCAATAGTACAAAAACAATATTTAAGAAGTTCAATTCTTGTCTGTTTAGAGGGTGTAATAGGGGGCAAATGACCTTGAAATCTCGACTTAGTCACTTGGAAATATAGTAGAAATACTAACTCAAATCCAAGCCAATAGTGCAGAAAACCAGACAAAGAAGAGTTCAAAAATTCAATGGGAAGTAACTCAACAAGTAAACATTTCCTTTGAGTCACATAGAAAACGTAATAAATGAATGATATAATAGGGATAGCAAAAGAATAAACCCAAGCGAAACTTCGAATACAAATACGCATTACCAAACTATCCTTAATCATTTTAAATCAAGTATTTGTTAAAAAAAAAAAGGTCTCGAGTATCATATAAGTGAGAAAATTGTTAAGAAGGAAGTTATGATGAATGAAAGAGGATAGTGGAAGAAGGCGGACAGACACCCTAATATATGGAGTTGAAGGAGAGATCAAGAAGCTCCAACTCAAGCTATACTCTGGTTTTTTTTGCTTTTTTTTGAATCGAATTCTGTGAAACGTCAATGTGGCATTAGCTTAATTTGATTGCATAATTCTATGGCTTGATACACTGTTTTGATATTACAGGATTATTACTTAAATAATGTACACATATATTATGATGGCTAATAATTTATACTACAAAAATAGAACACATGAGATCACTCATTTACGTCCAAATGAAGTTTCTTTTTTCTTTTTTTGTGGGGGGTGGATTTTAACAGTTATATATAAAATATTTATCAAAATAAAAAAAATTGATATTAATAAAGAATTTAAGGTAAAATAAAAAAAAAACCATTATCTGTATATTACTGTTATATTATCTGTTATATTATCTGTTATATTATCTGTTATATTATCTGTTATATTATCTGTTATATTATCTGTTATATTATCTGTATGTTAACGGCTCTCTTATTTCTCTTATTAATTGCACAGAGACAACGCACGTGATAACAACCGTGCACGAAACTATAAATGGCTCAGAGTTTATTAATGTTTATATAAGCAACTTAGATGTTTTTTGGTTTTTTTTTTTGTAAAAAAAACGAAATACCACGTTCTCTGAACATAATTAAATTAGTTAGTTTATGCTGTAATTGTCAACATATCAAACCTAATCTTAGCCAATGATGATAAAGTGAACCTGCAAATAATCGAACATTTTTACCACTTTTATCGATTTGTGATTTAGAAATTTCCCTTATATGATTGTTGGATATTCACATGAAAAACGCACACCAGGTCGCCTTAAAAACTTTTATCTCATTACTTCATTGGATTCCAAATCAAGTTAAATTCACTTTTTAAGTTTCTTTTAAAAGTTTGTCAGGAAAAGAACATTGTATCGTTACTTTTTAGGAAATCATTTGATTCTGTCTTATTTAATCATTAAAACAAATAAAGTATCACATTCTTTTAAGCCGTGAGTTATGGGCTGATCGATTACAAGATGTATCAATAAATGCATCAATATTAACTACTGTATTGATATATATTATTTATTTATTTATTTTATATTTATTTATGATTTTTAAATTTTTTTTAAAAAAACGACGGTGGTTACCATGAGTACATAGTAGGGACCTGCACGGGCCTAGAAATTTGTACTTTTGCCGGCCCGCACGGCCCGCAAAATAAAATTTACTATGTTTT